TAGCCACGGATCCTTTGAAAAGTCGCGGGAGAAGTTTTTTAAAGCTTCTGAAATAAACCTCGTTGCTAGGGAAAGCTGGGTGACAGCATCTGAGTTTCACTGGTGGTGATTCCCAAGCCCTGTGAGCTCTCCCTCTGTGCATGTTTGGGCCTGGGGAGACTTTATGCCTTCCTGGGGAAGAAGAGGATTTAAACACTCAGTGGTGGTTGGAGTTGTTCATGGCGAGAAGCTGGGGAATCCTGTTCCTTCAGAAAACTGCTGCTTCCTTTTCCCGATCAAGGGATGTATGGCTGTGTCTTCCCCTCTGTAATTTTCCTAAATCTGACATGGAATCCTGTTCCTTCAGAAAACTGCTGAAATCTGACACGATATACAGGTGTGTTTGTCTTAAACACACACTTCTTAAACAGATGCAGTATTATTAGTTTTATTTAGAGTAAGTTATTACATGAACCTTGGCAAGCTGACAAATTAACCGATGAGCTGTAAAGAGTGATCTAAAATTCTAGTCTAGCAGAAGTATTGTACAAAATCCTGCTCTACTGCATTACGGGTAACACTTTACTTACAGCGCTTGTGCTTATGTAGGAAATGTTGAAGGAGTGTTACCATGAGATTAGCTAACTAAGCCTGATACACCACCACTCTAATAGCTGTACTTCATCACTCCCCAATAGTCCTTTGGGGATCCCTCCTCTCTCGCTGTCGTTTCAAGTCCCCGAGGTGCCACCAGGCAAGAAGCTGCTCACGTTGTAGCTGACTCCCAGTTCTGCACATGCTACTGGTTAGCCAACCAGTACGCATGTATCTGTTGGGCACGCAGTGACCACACTGCAATGTGAGTCTGTGTAGTGCAGGGTTTCCATCAGCATGAGCACTAATTTGGGTGCAGAATCATATAAACCTAGAACCTCAAAATTTCTGTCAAGTTTTACAGAATTTGTCAGTAATGGCAGAATTTAGGGAGGGTGTGGGGTTTGGGAGGGGGTGTAAGGGTACCCTGGAACTGTTCAAACCTTGTTTCCTTATGAAACTGGTTAGAAATTGCAGTTAGAATTTGAAGGTTTGTAACTGTTTGGGTAAAGCCATCATGTATAAGTGTGCAAAATGTTTTCCATTGTTTAAACAAACTTTCATCATCAGTATGTAAGGAATTATAATCTCGGTCCTTCCATCATCCCGTGCTTGTCAGAGGAAGCCAGGACACATCAGCTTTTGTTGTCTGGGTGCATACATTTGATATGTTTGAGCCTGCATTTTGTCTTAAATTGAGGAGGTATTCAGAAATTGGCACTTTTTCCTCTTAGTGTTCATTTTATTATTTCTGTATCAGGTGTCCCTCATCCATCAAAAATGAAGTGACTTCAGTCTCTGCGCAGAGCACACTGTCAAGAGGAGCTAAAAGCTTTAGAATAACTGTAAGTAATTTTACCTAGGCTGACAAAAACCTCTCTGCCAGGATCAGATTAGTGCAGCTGGTGGATTTTTTTAAGATTTGCAATTGCATTATATCATTACCTCAACCGAAGCATCAGGCTCAGAGGTGATGACTTTAACCTTGCGTCTCTCAGCTTTTCCATGTTGTGTTAGATACTAGTTAAGGTTATGCTTTTTTTCTGAAGATTAAAGAGATGCTGTGATGCAAAAGCTTTTAAGCATTTGTTTGCCTTCAAAAAGACACCTAAAGTTAAGCACATAGGAAAGAGTTTACAGGTTTAGCATTCTAGGATGGAAGGATCTGATGGTTTCCTGTTGGTTTTTCTTAACTAACCTGTTAATGCTCTTCTCCCCACTTTGAATTTCTCTTTGTAATCAGATTGTGTTGGTCACTGGAACCCTTGATTTGCTCACTTGCTCTAAGACTTTGAATGCCAATGACTCTTACAGATGCCTGCTGTCAATCCAAATGTATTTGGTCTTTAATAACCATATTAAAAGCAGAAAATACCAGAAGCAGAGGACTTATTTGTATTAATCCTAACTCTACAGCAAAATGGTGTGCCATTCAAAATGGCAGATGCTACTGAAAGAAAGCTCAAACTTTAATCAAAGCTGACCATTGTTGCTCTGTGGCACAGAGAGAAGTGTTGTTATTTCCAGTTTCCTTATTCACAGGTTTCCTTTCATTGTATTGCCCTTTCCCATTTGTGGGAGAAGAGCCATGAAGAACCGTTCCTCATCTCCCCCTTTGCACGTCCATGTGGATGAAAACACCCCTGTCCATGTCCATATTAAAAAGGGTCAGAAAACCACACCTGCAAAATGCCAGGTAGGAGTGTGTAGCTGGGTGTCGTAAGGGCTACGAAGAGAAAGGTGAATGGTCCTAGAAGCACCTCAAAATCTTCAAGGTCTGTTTTACCATTGTATTAGAACTGCAAGACTTGAATTCGTATGCAATGGTGAATTTTCAGTAACATGTCTTCTGTGTTTAGGACGGTTTATCTGTGTGATACAGAATATAGTTACTTTTCACGTTCAGGTGTGTGCTTGTGAGGAGAGTTGCTTCTAGCCTGATGTGATTTGGGGGAAATTATTTTTCCTTTTAGTTCCTGGACTTGCGTCTTGATAATGTTTTTTCTTTGGCTTCATCCCTATTTTTGTAGGAAAGGTTGGGGAAAGGTAATATCTAGGTGTTTCAAATTCCATCTTGCTCATATTAAAATAAACATATTTAGAAAAAAAAAAAAAGTCTGGATTCAAACCATCTTCTGGTATTAAGCACCTTCCCAGTCTGCTGAGCTATGCAGCAGGGAGGATCTCTTCATCGCCTTATCCACAGTAGGTAGAAGGCAGTACTGAAGTTGAGTTTCTAGCTGTTTCATATCCTCTTCTGTAGTTGGATGTTTATGTAAAGTTGTTCTCAAAAGATGATGGAAGTTGCTAGCTCATTCTTCCTTATGTGCAGACATCCTGTTTTAAGTCCTGTATTAATTTTGTGTTCGTTGCTAATGGCAAATATCATAATGGGGTAGGGCCTGACAGTGAAATCAATGACTTCTGTTAATTAATTGCCTGTAGGGAGTGTTTATAACATCTGATTTTACTCTAAGGTTAGAATTGTGCAAAACCACAAACTTTCCTTCAGTTAGAGCACCTTGAGTTCAATACAAATAAATGTGGATCTATTAGTGAACTGCAAACCAGGGAAAACACTTCAGGGGCTTTTCATAAACCGACTACGCTGCAGTGTTCTTTTTTTCTCTAGTAGCGCTGTTGGCAAAAGATGTATGTGCTCTTTTGTGAGATGAATCTGGAATGGAGAAGGGATCTCCCAGGTTTTTCCTTCTTCACGTGAATGGGTTGTATTGCAGGTTTTTTTGTGTATCTCCATACAGAGGAGACTTCCTTCCCTATTCCCCCCCCGATCTCCCACCCCTTGCCCTGCTGGGTAAGACTCTCATCACATCACAAGTGCAGGTATCCCAGTGATTTATCAGAGTTGCTACAAGATAAACAAGAAGAATTTACTACATCTAGCCATGCTGTCAGCTGAATGTACAACAACCTTTCCCTCTGGCTGGTGTTAGCCTCCTGTGATGGCTGCTGGCTCACCTGATCTGTGAAACACTGTGATATTTTTGTATGAATGAAATTTCATTTGTTTTGCAGCACTAAAAATTGTAAATGGTTCTTTAAAAGTGTGTGATTTATTTTCTCTTTCTTTAGCAAAAGCACAAACAGAAAGTTAAAGGGGATACTGTGAACACGTGCCGATCTGTCCGTGTGAAAACTAAGGCCCCCTGGATGCCCCCAGGCAGAACATCTGTCCGGGACTCCACCTGCAAATGGGAGGTATGGTTGATTTTGCTCTTTTAAACAAACTTTCAGGTTTATCTGAGGTTGAAGAGAGCAGTTGTGTAGTGAGGGAGCTGGTCTGGTTTGAAAGAAGGCTACTGTCACCTACCATCCATTTTAAGTGTCTCCTATAAATCTTTTTCACTTTCTAATACAGCAAAATTGGAAAATAATTAGCAGCCTATGGCCACATCATGCCTTTCTGCCTCTGGAAGCCAGACAAATTTCTTTGTTTATTGTAGTTTTACTAGTCCCCTTCAAGATCTCATCTGGAGGCAGAGCCGAGGGGCTGCTCTTATTCTCTTCCAAAGCATGGAGCATTTGTGGAGTTTTGTGTTATATTTTCTTTCTCATGGGTTGATAGTTTTGCCTTTTGTATTCCTGGCTCTTTCTAGATGAGAATTTGAACTTGCATTATTTTTTTCTTCTTTTTCTATTCTGGTCTTTCTTCATTCTTGACCTTTCCCTGATGGAAACGAAAGAGCTATTTACAAATGTGTTTTTCCTTACTAGCCTTATTGCAGTGATGTGACCTGGTCTCTTTTTTTTGGCAGAGTTAGGGTTGGAATACTGTTTATAACTTTATACTAAAAAATTATGCTTTTTATTGCTTTTCTACCAGGGACCAACTCACCGCCTAGAAATTACACCTCCAGATTCAGAAAAAATGCTGTCAGTATTGCGCCTGAGTGACCTCTCTACGGACGAGGAGGATGCTGTTTGCTGCAAAATGAATGAATACGAAAAGAAGATAGATAGCCTGATGAATGTGGTGGGAACGCTGAAGAATGAGGTGAGGAGACAGTGTAAAGACCTGCTGACTTGGGCTTTGTAGCTGATTGTTTGGCAAGAGTAGGCTGGAGTCAAGTCTTGGTGCAACGGAAGTCTACCCATGCTGTTGCTCAGAAAAAAAAAATCAACCTTGAGTTGTTCAGAAGAGCTGAACTATCTTAGTGAGAAATTCACTAAGCCCTACTTTGAAACATTTTAAAATGTTATCCATTTAATAAGGTATCACTGTGCTTCAGTTTCCAAATAATCTCTCTTCTGCCCAAGCCCAAAATCTGAAAACTGATCATTCCAGAAGGTGAAAAATACAATATGTTGATGTTTTATTGTCAAAGAATCCACTTACTCAACAAGATTGTTTTTTTCTGATTCTGTTTCAAAATGCGCAACCCAGGATGTTGTGTTTTCCAGACAAATAGCCTCTTACGTACTTGACACCACTTAAAAACTGGGTAGGAGATGTTCAGAGATTTCATAAGATGCATTATGGTGGGGGCAAACTGCATTTTTAACTTTGAATTAACACTGAGGGTAGCAAATATTGTATTACTATTATTTTATTCAAAACTACATGAAGTTCAAATTGGTGAACAAGAATAGGATTTGAGTCAAGTAGATTCTTATATTAAATGTTTTCCATTTTATTTATGCTGCAAAATTTAATGGAATTATTACTGGCATGGTTGTAAAACAAAAATCCATTTTAATATTTTTAATAGGTTAATTGAATGTAAATGTTTGGTGGTGTCACTTAAATTCACAGTGTAAGATCACGTTAATTTTGTTAGCTTTAATCCTGTACGAGCCAGGTATACCTGGAGGTATTTCCAGGTAGTAAGTGAATTATGCCCTTTGTGCACAGGAACAGCCTGGAAGTATCTAGGACGGGGAAAAAAAAACCAACCAACATGGTCCTTTGTTGCTTGGTGCAGCTGAATAGCTGGCTCACTGGTATGAGATGTGGATTCTATATATCACTTTAAAAACACCTGGTTGGTCTTAAGTTCTATTTAAATATCTTCATCAGGCCAAGCTGCAGAAAAAGGAGGAACAGCAGCAAATGACAAAGCGTCTCCTTGAGGAGCAGAAGGAAGAACTGAATGAGGTCACGCAAGAGCTGGTAGAAACAGAACATGAGAATACACTGCTCAGGCGCAATATTGAGCGCATAAAGGAAGAGAAAGACTTGACTGTGTAAGAAAGCTCCAGTTCTCCACTGTTACTGCAAGTAGTGGTATTTACAGGGCACCTACCTCCTTTATTGGTTTGTACTCTGTAGTTTGCAGTGCTGCTGAAGAAGTGATTGGATTTTTTTGTCACCTTTTAGAGGGGGGACTTCAGAGAAGGGCTCTAGCGTGATTACTGGGATGGAAAAAACTACTCCGAGAGGAACCTGAGAGCGGTTGGCTTGTGTGACCTACTGGAGGGTCATCCTAGCTCTGCAAATTAATATTTTGAAGGTTAAGAGATGCTGGTTGAAGAGAATTTTTTGGCCTTTGTGAAAATCGCACTGTGACAGGAGTGGCAGCCCCTGAGAGGACTGAATCATGCTTGTGTGGGTTTTTTTGTTGTTTTTTTTTTCTTAGTGACCCTAAAGGTCTCTCAGTCTGACTTTTTTGCATCTGCTTTGTATCTAAAGAATTAGGGAAGTTTGTGTCTCCAGGGGGACACTAGTGTTTTAAGAGAGTTAGTTTTATTTTTTCCTTAAGAAAGGAAGTTAATACCCTGTGTTCATTTTTCAGAAAACTTTGTGAATTACAAGCTCTGGCTAAAAACTTTGAGCTGTGTATCTTGGTGTGCTTTCCTGTTTCATGTTCAGCCATTTGGAGTCTTATTTCTGGTATGGCTTAAGTGCTCAGGAAAAGCACAGCATTGTGTTTTGGGCTTAGTGGTGCATGCAGGCTTTGGTATAAGCCAAATTTGTCCCCTCTAAATTCCTGTTTCGCAGCTGTGGGCCTAGCAAGCTCCTGGTGTCTACTTACTGTCTTCTGTCAGAACAGCTTCAACACTGAAAGAGGGTAAATCTTTAGTGGTTGTTTGGAGCTTTTTATCCTCTGATTTGAGAGTTTTTATCAGTTTTAACCCAATAGACTGTAATCAGTAGTGGCTGGTACAGCTGTCAAAGCTTCTTGTTTCTCTGATGGCTGACTTCTCGTTGCAGGCTACAGAAAAAGTACTTGCAGCATGAGAAGGAGTGTTTGATGTCCAAGCTGAGCGAGGCAGAAAGGGATGGAGCAGCAGCAGCCAGGCAAATCCGTGCCCTGAAAAATACAATTGGGAGACTCAACATTGTACGTGTTGTCCTTTTTGGTTCTTGCCTTTACTACATTGTCCTGTTATATGGCTGTCTTAAAAAATGTAATGTTACAGTTGTTGATCCAGAAAAATGTAAGGAAAAGTGGAGGGATTTAACATGCTTATGGTGTTTGCTAGTTTTGTTTGGAAGAGGGGTGTTTACTTGCAGCATCCAGTTGCCTTCTGCACACGTGATGCTGACTATTGCACTGCTCATGCTTGTATCAGCTTCATACATTAATTCCATGTGAACAATTATTTTCTTTCTTTTTTTTTTTTGTTTTGTTTGTATTTCCTCTAGGAGAAACACATGAGCAGCTCAGACATTAACACACTGACAAGGCAAAAAGAGCTGCTTCTGCAGAAATTGAGTACCTTTGAAGAAACCAACCGGACACTACGAGAACTTCTCAGAGAGCAGCACAACCGGGAGGTGAGCAGTGCTGTGTGCTTGAGCTTGGATGATTACAGGAGGCTATATTATCTTGTGAACTGAAATGGAATTTGGAGAGCTGTTAAGTCTTCCCAACCTGGCTGTTGGCCTTGTGTCATAAAGGAAGGATAGTTTTGTTTATCCCTGCATACTTAAGTAGAGTAAGATTGACTTTTCTGCTGTGGGGATGTTAGAGTGTTTTTGACTGTGTTAAAAGGTATATGCACTACTGTGTTGCCAACTCTTTTTCATCTGGATACAGCTGTATCTGCTGATCATGCTAGTCTGAAATGTTACTGCTGCGGTTGCATTGGCTGAAGTCTGAGGATTAGATGTGGGTTTAGCTAATGGGGGCCTAAGGACATTCACCATTCTATTTTTGTAGGCTGTAAAAGCAATAACAAAGAAACTGTAAACAATTCTGTAGTCCTTGTACAGAACAATTGCTTGTAAGAGCAATACAGAAATGAAATTGCTATTCTTCCTGTAGTTTATGTTCCATTTAAGCAAAAGCAGGCCAATGTAACAGTTCTTTCAGCCACCAGCGAAACTGGATAAAAGGACTGAGTTCTTACACCTGACTTTCACTGAGTAGTGAGAGAGTTCTGAAAGACCTTAAATTGGCATCGTGCTTTTTATTATAATCTTTGACTGAGAAGTGGAAAAGCTTTCTGAGATGGGTGGTCATATGTGAAATATTTAGCAAATTTGATGCTTCTGTGTACCTTCTGAGAGTTGCTGCTGCATCTGGGGGAAAACGGTTGATTTGCCCAGTCCCATCTAAAGAATCTATATAAAATTGACTTTTTAGTTAACCATTTTCTCATGCAATTCTTTTGTAGAAGGATGCTCAGAAGATACTGGAGCAGCAAGGAGCACTGCTGAAAAGGCTGGCTGACTCAGATGCAGAGAAAATTGTAAGCAAACCAAAATACCCCTCTCTGATAAAGCAGAGAGATCTAAAATTACAAGCTCTTCTTTGTCTTGTATTCAGCTATCAAGTCCTAAGCTGTCTTTTAGACCAATTAAAAATATTTTGGCTTTTGTGGTAGTTGAGGCCACTACGTTGCCCCTCTAGTTAATAACCTATATTTTGAAGTGGATAGATTTTCATAGCCTTTGAAATATGGGGGCTTAGAATGGGGATAGCACAACTGAGATGTACATATAAGAGCACCATTAGGATTTACAGTATTCAGCTATAAAGGAGAACTTAAGCTTGTTCTCATTGTGCTGTTCAATTCAAGCATAAATGACTGCTTACCTTTTCTTATGGTACTGAATGTACAAAGCAAGAATTGTACTTCATTTTTCTTTAAAAAGAAAACTGTAGGTGGGAGAGAAAAAATTCTACCATCAAAATACCCCTGACAGTCAGGATAGAATTCTTCAGTGTGGAAATCATCTTACTGTTTCTGTATGTTTATCGTGTTATCCTTAGAGACTGAAAAGCACCAAGAGGGTAAGCTTTCTGTATCTGCTTCTGTCACTGAACGAGTGAGTGACTGGATGCCAGTCTCTGTTCATTTCCTTATCTGTAAACTGAGAAAGGAGTTCTTACGTTGACAGGTGTTACAAAACTTGCGGTGAGACATAGGTAATGCCCCTTTTTGTCTGTGGAGTGTATAGTTCTGTCAGGTCCTCGTTCTTGACTGGGTATCCTGTGCCCTGCTACACAAATGTGTGTGTAGCCATTTTGCTTTCTGCTTGAGGAGAATGCAGACTGTTTTTCTGGGACTGAGGGTGCTGTTGCTGTGGATACCAAACAGAGTGCCATGGATCAGAGGGTCTCGGAAGGCAGGCAGTTACACCTCTTTCCCGCCGTCTGTCAACCTAAATGTATTTGTTACTTAAAATCTGAGTGGTGTTTGTTTTCCAGCAACTTCAGATGAGGCTTCAGGAGAAAGAAGAAGAAGTAGACAATCTTACCATTCAGATACAGGCAGAAAAGGTAGTTTCCTTTTTCCGTTTCCCCTCCTTGCTTCACCTTCCAGTTCTGTAGAACCGCAGATAATCCAAAATATGGGTTTGTATTTGCTGACAATTACTTTTTAAGGGATCAGATGACTGGCTTGCTTATAAAACTAGACAGACAGCTACCTATTCCTACACAGTTGTGGATTCTATATTCTGCTAATAAGACATCCATCACAAGGCTGATTAGGTAGTAGTCTCTTTGCTTGGGCTTATCACCGCCTTTCTGTTGAAGGTCCTGTTGGTCCCTGATGTCAAGTTCCAGTCTGTTCCTCTGTTTAGGACATAAAAGGGGAATGTGGTGGAAGAGCCCCGATATGAAGGATGTCTCACAGAAATGTGAGACTGTTACATATTACAAAGTGTTCCTTCTATTAGCTTCCTGAGGAAAAAGGTGTGTGTCTTGTTGCTTCTTATTTAGGACCAGGCAAAGACAGCATGCGAACTCTCCAAATCTATGGAGGCTGTGAGAGGCCATTTACAAGCACAGTTGCGAAACAAAGAAGCTGAGAACAACCGTCTGACTACACAGATACGGGTATGTTTTCAGTGGTCCCTGGGGATTGTCTCTTTGGTTACTGTCATGAAGTGAATTGACTGACAGGGGAAATAGCACTCACCAACTATTCTTCTGCTCTGTCTGGTAGACTGAAATGTTGGCTGGTGATGTTTATGCCATTAATTCACACTGTACTTTTCAAATCAAGTAAGAAAAGAAAAAGCTTTTCAGTTTTGATGCATCAGGCAAAATCATAGCCTTACGGTCTATATGCATTTGTTAGATATTTTTTTCTAAGGTAATTATTACATAATTATTTAAAAGGTGACTTTGGTTTAGTCAATCATCAAAACAGATCGTACACTATTTAATTTCCTTTCTGGGAAAAATGCAGTGCCATAGGTTCCTGTATTTGATCACACTCGTACATGCTTTCTACGGTATTAAAGGGGAGGGGAAAGTTCCCCTGGTTTATCTTGATGGAAGTTTTATGTTTAACATATCTGTTGATGTAGTGATGATGTTATGATGAACATATGTGTGTTGATGGTTTAGAAGAGCTTTAATTCTCTTAAGCTATATAGCTGCATAAAACAACATTATTATATGTGAGCATTTCAATTAATAAGGCAATGTTCTTGGGTAGATCAAAAGAATAGCAGACCAGTATTTATCTTGATCAGGAGAGGAAATCTAGAGTAGCTTATGAAAGGAAGACTCGTAAGGAAAAGTAGACGTGTCATGCTAATGTGTCTGTCATCATTAGGACAGGATTGCGTAGGTGAAATGTGATTGCAAGTAGCTTCAGGCTGAAGGTTGGGGGTTTATGCCCAGCTTTTTCCACTGTTTCTAGGAAATTAGTTGCTGATTTGGGTATGCAGGAATAAAGGCATTATTCCATATGTGTGTTTTCTTCCTCCCCCTGCAGAATCTGGAGCGCAGTGAAGCCCAGCATAAGGCAGAGCTGGAACATGTCATGGAACAGCTGAAAGAACTAAGACAGAAAGCAGACCGTGATAAAGAGGGCCTGAAGAAAGCCATCCGTGCACAGAAAGAGCGGGCAGAGCGAAGTGAAGAGTATGCAGAGCGATTGACTGTCCAGCTAGCAGAAAAGGTACCTGATCATACAGGAGAAGAGACCTCATTTCAGATCATGCATCTAAATTGTTGACTTCTGGTAGTAGCCCTGGGGAGAGTCTCTGCTTTCAACTAATGAGATTTATTTCTGTCTTGATGCTTTGGCCCATTTGTGCTAAGTTTAGAAAAAATCCAGTTTTCTCAGCTGTCACTGTATTCACTGCGTGTCCTTAACTTAGGACATGCTGTGACTTAGATCATTCTAAACTAGCAGATCTGATTTTTTTACCTGTCTCTTTAGAACCATCTGAGGGTTGACAAAAGCCAATAAAATAAAGCCTTATGGTTTTGGCTGAAAATTCTGAATGGGGTTAGTTGTTAATGGAGAAACTAGTCAGAGCAGAAAAGTACAAAGACTTAGAGGTGTACTGGAATTTCCTGTTGAAAAATGACTGAAGGATACCAAGAAAAAGTAGAAAAGTTAGGACTAAAACAAATCAGAAGGGAACTTTATTTTTTCTCCCTTGTTTTTAGAATTCCAGGGACCAGAGCCACTAGTAGAATCTTAGTCATGCTCTGTGAACTTTCACTGCTGTTATGTTGGCTGACAGTAATGTTGGAGAACACCTCTCTGAAGGATCAGGAGGAATAGAAATAAATACTTGTCCTCGATATTTTAGAAGTCTTAATGAAGTCTCTGCACATACACTTACCCATATCGGCATCTCTGTGTATTGTCTGCATATCCCATGTCCAGTGACATTTTTGTCACTCTTGTTCTTTTCCTCATGTGTTTTGTTTGATAGGACAATTATGTTGCCGAGGCTCTGTCTACTTTGGAGTCCTGGAGGAGTCGCTACAACAAAGTAGTAAAGGACAAGAGTGACCTCGAACTGGAAATCGTTACGTTGAACAGGTTAAAATAAAATTAGTGTGGAGAAACTGGCATGCGTGGGGATGAGTTCTAAGTTCAAGGATAATTTAATTGAATTTAATTGATTAATTGCATTAAAATAAATAATTTAATTGGATTGCCTGTAAATATCCAAGCAAAACCAGGGCTGCCTAAGGGCTAGAGGAGAGTTTGGAGAGATCGAGAGAGAGAGAGATGTGACTTTTGTTGCTCACTTGCCACAGCAAAGGCACACTTTTTAAGTGTTTGCTGACCCTTAAAACTCTATTCCTTTGCCATTTTTAATGCTTTGAAGTAATTAAGATTATTTTTCTTTTGAGATCTGTTTGAGAAACTTGCATGGAAGGGATTAGGAGAGGTTGGCAGTATAGTTCATGCCAATTTTGTTGTGAAGGTAAATAAATGTGTTGGTATCACTGCAGTACAGTTGTTGCTGCAGGAAAAATTAGGTAGGTATGAGATGAGAGAGGAGTAGCTCTTTATCCTGTATATCTTGGAGGCAATGCATTTGAGCTCCAGGGGGACAACTCAAGTTAATTTCCATCAGGCTAAGAAGATTGAGGTAGTAGAACAGTGTAACAGATAGGTGTGCATACATGACCGGAGAAGGAAGGTGAAAGGATAAGGAAAAGCCATGTTTTTGAAGTTAATGTTCAAGGGTTAGGAGTTTTATCCTTTCTTGTAACTTAAGGATTAATTTTGTTTCTGTGTGGCAGCCGTGTTGCAGACTTGCTGGAACAGCAGACAACCCTGGAGGACAAGATGCGGGAGGACAGAGAAGTTTTGGTGGATAAATTGCATCGACAGACTACAGAGACCACTTCTTTCAAAATGGAGAATGAAAGGCTAAAGGTCAGCGATTCTAGGGGTTTGAAGCTGAAATGCTAGGGGAAAAAAAGGAGAAATTATAACAAGTTGCTTGGCCTCTGAGGACAGAATTGAATTGCACCCATTGCTGCCATTTAGTTCCAAACCACTTTTATCATAACCTGCGCATGATCAGGCAAGTACACTGGGGAGAGACATAAAGAAAGAAAATGAACGTTCCGGGAGGACTGGGTTTCTTCCACAGGGAGTATCTCCAATCCAAGTGCTGTTTCTTCCAGCTGAGGTCTTATGTCTTGTCTTTACATCTTCATGCTTCTGGCCACAGAACTAAAAAATGTAGCTCGTGCAGAAAGAATGATGATCTCCAGAATAAAAAAAAAAATCCCTGGGATATTTCTCCTGTCATCTCTCTTGTCACTGGTGATCTTGTAGGTGACCTACATAATTTTCTTCTTGGAAAGCTACTCATTGATCCAAAAAAAGAGTGGCCCTAATCCAATTAGCACAGCCCATTCAGACAAACTGAAAGATTACACATCCATCCCAAACCTCTGCTTTGCTGATGTAAATTTGTCAATCCACTGAAGTCTGCAAAGTTTTGCCAACTTACACTGACAAAAGTCTTTGTTAGACAGGTAATGTGGCAGTTACTTCCAAGCGCTCAATGGAAGATGTTTTCTTTTTTCAGGCTAGTGTGGTCCCAATGGAGGAAAAGCTGAACCAAGCACAGATGGAAGTGCAGCAGCTCAAGAGCTCTGTCAGGAACTATGAAGAGTTGATTGAAACATACAAGTCACAGGTAGGCATCTTATCAAAACCTTCAGCCCTTGTACAAACATGTTTTCTCCCGTTACTGTTGTGACTTATTCTGTAATGCCTTAACCCTTTGTTTGCCCTTGGAGGATGTTGCAGTTTCATATGGGTTTGGTTCTTTTGTCTCCATTAGCCTTACTTTTTCTCAAATGGCAGAATCTGACTGCTGTGTGCTGTATGCGTAAGTGTGGAAGACTTGCGTTCCTCACTTTGTGCTGATAACTTGGTCATTAGGAAGAGCTGACTCCCGCAGCAGAGATCTTGATTAGTGTAAAACAAAAGGCTGATTTTAATTATTTCACTTTTCCCTGCTCCTTTTCAAAAGGTAAAGGAAAATAGTGAGATGCTTTCTTCTGCCTTTTCTTGTAGCAAGTTCTGTTCCTTAGCTGCTTTTTGGGGGGGATTTTGGATGTTGTGGTAGTAGGAGGATAAGGCAAGAGGGGAGAACATCTGGTGGAAAGCCCAAATGATCCAGGTGACAGAAGCAGAAAGTGAACTTCCAAATACAGTTCTAGGGTGGTGGTTAGTGAGGCAAGAAACTTGTTGCTGATCCTTGAGCAGTTTTAGTTACTCCAAAGCACTGCACATTTGTTGAAAACTATATATGACAGCTAAAGTATGTGGACTTTTTTGTATGTCCAGGTGTTGAAGACCCGAATGGAAGCAGATGATGTGGCAGCACGACTGGAGAAGTATGATAAAGAGAACAAGACACTAAAGGATGAAATGAACAAGGAGATTGAATTGGTAACTATTCCTCTAAAGGCTGATATGTTGTAGATATTCATGGATCTTAATGTTCTGAGTGTAGTGAAAAATGGCTGTGAATAGGAAATAAATGTCTTATCTGAGTTTGCCTTTTCCAATAGTTTTTCTCAGGACTTGTTAATTCTGCAAAATTTATTGAATGTTTAGCAGCTTCTTTTTTACTATATGGCATTCTTCAGAGGTGTTTAAATTGCTTAGTGTGTCCTTTGCTGCAAAAATAGTGGCTTAGAACAGTGGACTATGCAGGTTACACCATTTTCTGATGTGGAACAGCTGTCCTCAAAAAAGAGCTTGTATTTCTAGTAAAATTGAAGCCCAGGATCTAAATACTCGCTTATTTTCACTCGGTTCATAGGGAATGCCAAATCCTAAGAGAAAGCCTTTTGGAGTAAGAGAAGACCTTACGCTTTGAACTCCCAACACCTGCCAAATATCCACACAGTGTCATCCTGGCTGCAGACTAACAAAGCTTCATTGAAATAAAGAAATTTTCTAGTCTTGACCTTAACGTTTGAAAGTTCCTCATGTTCTCTTCTTTGTCTGTAGGCGCGTATGCAGTTCCAGAGCCAGCTTGCTGAACTGGAAAAGCTGCCCGAGATCCTAAAAATCACAGAGACACAGCTAGCAGAATGTCAGGACCAGCTTCAGAGTTATGAGAAGAAGAACGTGGACCTGTCTGTCATGATTGCAGATCTTCGTCAGCGGGTAAGGGACTGGCAGAAAGTACCTGCAGCACTGCAATCCGCAAGTCTGAGACCAAGATGAATTTCTAATCACAGGAAGGTTCAAACTTCGTCTCTGTTCTCATCTCTTTTTGAAAAGATTAAACGTGCACTGCAAAATAAAGGTGTGTGCTATGTCTTTGTGCAAGAAGTTAGCGGTGTAGCTAGTAGCATTCCTTACTGTTTGAAAGGTTTCTCATCTTTTGATGCAGAACCTTATTGGGACTTGAATAGCGGCAGTGACAACACTTGCTAATGCCAACGCTCGCTTCTGGTACTTCCATCTTGTCAGCTTTCCCTCCTGTGGTTTTCTGCTAATCGTGCTGTCCCAACCTTGTTTTCTCACCCTGAATTCAGGTTGTTTTCCCAGTTCCTGTTTTTTGTCCCCAGAAGGACTGCATAGGTATTGCAGGACAATTACAGACAGACATGACTTCCACAACCATGCCTCAAGACACACAGCAAGTGATCTCGCAGTCTGACTGCTTCACACTGGTTGGCTTGGAATGACAAACCTTCCTGGCTGTAATGCCTTTGTGGGCTGCTGTCATGCATGGGGCTGCTTTAAATGTATGTGCTTTGCTGTGCTTATCAGTGGCTGCTCTGCATACAAGCGTTTGCAGACCTAGCTTTTCATTTGCAATACAGAAGGATTTTCTCATACCTTTCCAAACATTAGCTGGAAGCACCGGCAAAATGGATGTTAAGTGCTTTTCTTTTCTAGCCGCTGTTCCTTTTCTGGAGCTCTTCAGAAATTGAGTTGAACATGTTTCCTTCTGGAGAGCTGCATACGTTTTAGGTGGTTGGCCGTATGTGTGTGTAGTGACTACTCTATAAAGTAACTACTGACTGTAATTTTTAGATTGAGCTCCAGGGGGACAAAATGGAGATGACAAGAGAGAGGTATCAGTCTGCCCAGGAGGAGAAAAAGCAGCTCACCTTGAAGGTGGAGGAGCTAGAAAGGTTAGAAATATTAGGCTCTCTTGCTCTCTTAACCTTCCATTTCCACCCTCTTCCCACTGTTTAGGAGATTGAAACAGCTTCAGTCTTGTTCCGGTCCCCCATGTGCCTCCAGGATTCTGTGCATTTGCTTATCCCACAAGGATCTGTAATCAGTAGCTGTCCACTGGAGAGAGAGTTACAGTTTTTTGCAGCATCTTTTATGAATGTTGTTAGAAAGGATGCTGATTTACGCAGCAGATAAACCAGCTCCTGGTCTGATCTAGCCTGACAGTTTTGAGGTTACTGAATATTACAGTGGTTTTGCCCATGTGTATAAATTCCTTTTAGTGACAATGTCTGGGAAAATGTGGGTATGTGAATGCTCTGTGTGTTCTTCAATCTTTGAAACTTTGATTTGAGAAATGGAGAAGTGTTTCTTGGGACTCTCGCCTTTAAGGGGGAATAGAATTTATTCCCAGACTAGTCAGGACCTGAAAAAAAGGCAGACTGAAACACACTCCATTTAAAATGAATAGGTTTCCTTCCCATATTGTTTTAACCTAGAAAACTAGAGACAACAAGCGCCCAGAACATAGAATTCCTTCAGGTCATAGCAAAACGTGAGGAGTCGATCCACCAGTGTCAGCTGCGGTTAGAAGAGAAGACCCGTGAATGTAGCTCCTTGGCGCGTCAGTTGGAGATGGCCATTGAGGATGCAAAAAGACAAGTAAGTTATTTCTTGCATTTGTGAATTTTCCCAAAACTACCCAGACTGTAAAAGGGGAACAGCGAGACTGCTGCAAATACCTCCTTGGCCTATGACCAAATTAATGAAAATCATCATGTTCAGTGAAATATAATAAAATATGCTGGTACTGTTTGTCAGCACTTAAACCGTTGAAAAACTGAACCCCGTGCTCCAGTTTGCAACAGAAGAGAGGAAAGCACAAGACTGAGCCACTGCTTATGTATAAGAGTGTGTCCAATTAAACTTTACAGGGCTTTTGTGGGCAGTGCAGTAGGGAAAAATCATTCTTCGATAGACACCCTTTAACAAAGTTGTTCTGTTGTTACACGTAGGTGGAACAGACTCGAGAACGAGCAACGTCCAGAGAGAGGGCAGCCCAGTCCAAGATGCTGGACTTGGAGACCCAGCTGAGTAGGAATAAAACAGAGCTGAACCAATTGCGCCGGAGCAAAGACGATGTGAGTGACTTGTGAGGGATACTCTTGCTGTACTGGTGGTGTCCTGCCAGCAATTGGAGTCCATAAACCAAGGTCATACCGATTGCTGCAAAGGTCGTGCAGAGCTGTGTCTGAATGTGATGTGCTGTTATATGTGTCTGTGACAGATGTGTGATATGACATGTCTCTTAGGTCAGTAATTCAGGAATGCAGACTCATTTCCGTATTACTTGCAGCAACCATCTGAATGAACTTGCTTTAAATTTACATGTGCGTAAGAAAAAAATCAGACCTTTCTTGCATTCAGATGAGATTCACACCAGATATCATGGACAGATTTCAACTTCATTTACTGTGCTTGGTTATCTGAGAGAGAATGCAATTTCTCTTCTAGAGGAAAGGATTTCTTCTGGAAGAAAGAAGAGCAATCTTTCATAATGTCCTGTTTGCCTGCTTGTTTACTTGAGTTTTACAAGGAATTGGGTTGCGTGTATCAGATCAAGTTGCTTTTCAGAAAAGAGTGTGTTTAATTCCCCATAACTACAGCTAATCAGTTTTAAAAGCCCCAATGATTAGCTGTGTCGTCTCCTGCTTTTATCAGTGGGTTGCTGAATGGAGTTGGAAATGAGCAGAACAAATTATAAATATCACAGCACCATCTAGGGTAATGTCATCTACTGCTGTGTTAATTCTTGCTGTCCTCAGCGCTTTTTGGGGAGCAGCTTGAGTTTAACGTGAACAGGATGAATGTTGCTGTCTTTCAGCCTGTGATTTGTACTTCTTTACGCAGGCAGAGCGCCGGTATGAAAGCCGCCTACAGGATTTAAAGGATCGGTTGGAGCAGTCGGAGAGCACCAACCGCAGCATGCAAAACTACGTCCAGTTCCTCAAGTCTTCCTATGCCAACGTTTTTGGAGAAAGTGCCTTGCTGGGCTCCCCCAGCCGCTCTCGTTCTTCTCCATGAGGACGATGCTCTCCCTGCACCTCTGCTTCTAAGCACAAAAGGAGCCCTATTTCAAAGCCATATGGTGTTCAGAAAATAGGTTGGAATTTCAGGGTCATTATTACGAGAGGTTTCCTCTCTTTCTTGCAGCTTGAGACAACAAAATGATGGTGGCACATAAGTGTAGGGTATCAGCAATACCGGTTTGGTGTTGGAGGTTGGCGTTACACCATAAACTGTGCCCTAAAACCAGATGATTTTGCATGTGGTGGAAAAGGTCCTCTGCATCCTGTAAGGTCCTGATGGTTTCAGCTCTCAACACCTGTCAGCAGTTTGTTGAGCGTGTTAATGTTTATAAGAACTCTTTTCCTTTTCATGCTTCTTTTTTTCATTCTGTTTCTATGTTGGGGAGATCATGTGGTTTTTTTTGTTTGTGAGCTTTTTATGTTGTTTTTTTTTTTTTAAACTCTTGAACATTGTATTGGTACATTGGATGATAGGATGGTGGGTGAGGGTCCACCCACCAGAAGTGTGAAGCTGAAAATAACTTAAGTGCCTGGGCTTAACACTTGGAAGACATTATCTCCTGAAGAACTACAGTGTTCGTAAACACTTTTATACAGTAATAATGATTTTGGGCTTTTTAAATTTAATTGATTCTTGTATACTCTCTGATCCTCACTTTTTTTTTCCCTGAGTGTGATGCTAATATTGCTTTACCCTTCTCACCCTGCTTTCCTGATCCTGAAAATTGCCAGGACTGAGCCAAAACCATCTGAATTCAAAGGAAAGATTGTGGCTTAACCACAGTGGCACTTCAGTTGGGGTCTTGCTGTGAACGCCACGCAGGTTCTGGGTGTGCATGAAATAGTGACTGGTCCTAAGCCAATTAAAGAGCAGCTACAGCTACTCAACTTCTTCATCGAACCAGCCTGCACCTTCTGGAAAATCAGGTCTTCATTGTGCTGACTCCCTAAAATTCATGTACCCTATTCTTTCCAGTAAATGGTTCTTCTGGGGGCAAAAATAAACACAGTTTTTATCTCTTTTTATATTCTATTTATGTGCGATGTGGTCATTGGGCGGTATTTGTCATAAAGGTTTTCTAAGTTAATTGTTTTTTGAGAGTTTTGTAATTGCGTGTGTGTGTTTAACACTTTAAAAATCCTAAAGGTGCTATGGTAAAACAAACAATAAACTGCATTTTAATTGGTTGCGTTGGGGAGTTCCTCTTTTGTGCGCTGCGTCTGGGGTCTTGTGTTTTAACCTTAACTGGGAACCAGGACTGTGCAGCAGAACAAAAAAGAAACCTCGTGGCTTGAGCTAAAGACAGTTTAATAGAATAGTAATGGGAGAGAAAATAACAATAATAGTAAAAGAATATACAAAAGGAGTGAAGCAATACACCTGAGGATCGGGTCCCCAGCCCTTCCTGAGCAGCAATTGCGCATCCCTGCCCCTGCCCCAGTTTATATCCTGCGCATGGGGCCTGTGGTATGGAATATCCCCCTGGCCGGCTCGTCCTCTCCGTGCCCTCTCGGCTTCTGCGGGAAACTGGAAAAGTCCTTGATTTAATATAAGTGTTACTTAGCAACAAGTAAAACAATATGTGTTATCAACATTATTCTCATACTAAATCCAAAACACAGCAGCTACTAGGAAAAAAATTCTACCCCAGCTGAAACCAGGACTGGGCTTCTGGTCCTTATTTTGGAAAAACAAAGCCATCCCTGGGGTGTTGGTGCACGCAGCTATGCTCCTGACTGATGGATGGGGGCCTCTCCCTGCCCCAGCAACCCAGGGTAAATGCTGCAGCGCTCCCTCCCGGGGCTCCTCCGCGAGAATACGCAAAATAAGGCGAAAACCGGCGAAAGTGACGGTGTTTCACGGCCCTGTCCTTTCCGTCACCGGAGCCGCCCCCGGCGGGACTCGAACCCGCGGACCCCTAGCTCGGCGGGGAGG